AACCGATCCACTCAACCGATCCACTCAACCGATCCACTCAACCGATCCACTCAACCGATCCACTCAACCGATCCACTCAACCGATCCACTCAACCGATCCACTCAACCGATCCACTCAACCGATCCACTCAACCGATCGACTCCGCCTGAGTCTTTAAAGCGTAACTCGACTACCGTAACCCTAATCTAATTAATCGAATTGGTCATTGTGTTCTTTATAATAATCTAGTTTCAAAAAAGGTACCTATTTTGCAAAACTATCGTAGTCAGACCGCTAGTTTTCATCAAATCAGCCCAATTTTTTATCATTTTGACAGAGCCGTGTGATTCCTCAATAGTGGTTGCTTAGTTACGGTTTTTTTTCTAAAATAGATACCTTTTAGGAAACGCATTAGCCTACAGGGATTAGATTACGGTAAGAGTACGATCCAGTAGTCTAAAAGTCGTTTCTTAAACCTATTTTGAAAAATTACTAAGCTGAATTTTTGCTGAAAGATAGCTTTAAGAAGCTACCGTAATATTTTCTTTAAATCTTCGTTAATTTGATTTCATTCAATTCTTAATTTGATTCCCCAGCGAATGAGATGAAACTTGAGGAAATTGGACAAATTACGGTAGCTGTAGGTTACGGTAGCTGCAGATTAAGATAGCTGTAGGTTACGGGAGCTACAGATTAAGATAGCTGCAGATTAAGATAGCTGCAGATTAAGCTAGCTGTAGGTCACGGTAGCTACAGATTAAGATAGCTATAGGTTACGGTAGCTGCAGATTAAGTTGGCTGTAGGTTACGGTAGCTGCAGATTAAGCTAACTGGAGATTAAGGTAGCTACCGATTAGGATAGCTGCAGATTAAGATAGCTGCAGATGAAGATAGCTGTAGGTTACGGTAGCTACAGATTAAGATAGCTGCAGATTAAGATAGCTGTAGGTTACGGTAGCTACGGATTAAGATCGCTGCAGATTAAGTTAGCTGGAGATTACGGTAGCTGCAGATGAAGATAGCTGGAGATTACGGTAGCTTCACCAACCTTTTAGAAACCTCAGAGTACTGTAAAACTTATTCAGGTAAAGAGAAAGAATCAAATTTTTGAGTGAATTGAGAAAAAGACAGGATTGCAAGAGTGCAAGAGGGGGTAATTTGGTGATTCGTTTGGGTATTTAGGCTGACCATTTATCGGTTCTTTATGACTTCTTTTGGTGCCGCGCACAACCGTAAACCCAACTTGGGAGGAGTGGATGGGGGAAATGGGGGAAATGGGCGAAATACCTCAATCCTGGGTTCATCGAAATATCGAAACAGTGATTTGAGGGGTTTTATAAAGAAAGGGTGGTCCATAAAGAAGAAAGTCTGGCAAGTCTGGAATAAACTCTAATGGATCCAAATAATTATTTGTACGATCAACAAACTCTAATCGATCCAAATACCGTATTCTCTCTAATAGTAGTGCAGCCCAAGCTTCGCCTAAATTGGTCGAAATCTCGAAAAGCACTTATCAGAACCTATCGATGTGGGGTCGGAAAATGAAGCTGACAACGAGATCTTGTGGGAAATAAGAGTGTTGAGCTTCTGCGAAAGCTTGGTAACCGTAAAATCGTCACCAACTCGGCTCACCGGGATGCACTACTATTAGAAAGAATACGGTATATATAAAAAACTTTGTCTGTCCGTCCGTCCATGTTTTTTTCAATCTGGCCTCGTCTAGCTCTAGATCCAAGCCTCGTCTAGCTCTAGATCCAAGCCTTGTCTAGCTCTAGATCCAAGCCTTGTCTAGCTCTAGATCCAAGCCTCGTCTAGCTCTAGATCCAAGCCTTGTCTAGCTCTAGATCCAAGCCTTGTCTAGCTCTAGATCCAAGCCTTGTCTAGCTCTAGATCCAAGCCTCGTCTAGCTCTAGATCCAAGCCTTGTCTAGCTCTAGATCCAAGCCTTGTCTAGCTCTTGATCCAAGCCTTGTCTAGCTCTAGATCCAAGCCTCGTCTAGCTCTAGATCCAAGCCTTGTCTAGCTCTAGATCCAAACCTTGTCTAGCTCTAGATCCAAGCCTCGTCTAGCTCTAGATCCAAGCCTCGTCTAGCTTTTAGATCCAAGAGTTGAACCATTTCTGGATCTATTGTACTCAACTCCTGGCTAGAATGCCTACTCTTTATCTATTTCATTTATATTTTCCCAACTCATCCATCTCCCAGGACCATGAAAAAGACTCGGCAATAGTTCGCTCGAATTTTGTCGGGGATTTTGTCGAATTTCATTCTCAATCGGTAATGAAAAAGCTACAGTAAACAGGGTAAAAAATAGAATTTTAAGCATTTTCAAAAATAGATGGATTCCGAAGAAATCAAAAGATAAGAGTGTTCTGCAAAAGCTTGGAAACCGTAAAATAGTCATCAACTCAGCTTGCCGGGATGCACTATTATTAGAGAGAATACGGTATTCTTGTTGTCTGTTCTACGTGCTCTGTTCTGTATTAGGGTTGCAGGAATGAAACCAGCGCTCAAATATCATTCCAAAAATAAAAATACTGCAAGTCTCAGCCAATAAGTTTTGTATACTATTAGAAACCCCTGAATCTCCTCTACAAAATAGTCCAAAAAGATTTTGAATTCGATTGATTATTGGGGACAAGCACAAAGGCCCTTAGGTGTTAAAAAGTAACCGCAGGTTGAGTCTCGGCCTCTCAAGGTTGAGTCTCGGCCTCTCAAGGTTGAGTCTTAGCCTCTCAAGGTTGAGTCTTAGCCTCTCAAGGTTGAGTCTCGGCCTCTCAAGGTTGAGTCTTAGCCTCTCAAGGTTGAGTCTCGGCCTCTCAAGGTTGAGTCTCGGCCTCTCAAGGTTGAGTCTCGGCCTCTCAAGGTTGAGTCTCGGCCTCTCAAGGTTGAGTCTCGGCCTCTCAAGGTTGAGTCTCGGCCTCTCAAGGTTGAGTCTCGGCCTCTCAAGGTTGAGTCTCGGCCTCTCAAGGTTGAGCCTTAGCCTCTTAGTCATTGCTTAGCCAAGCAATATCCTTTCTAGATATTCAAAACTTCACAAAAGCTTATTTGTGCGAGGCTAATTTGAGCTAAAATTAAAATCTACACTACGATAGGCTTTCGATCAAGCTTTAAACTTTTTGCAAAACAATTTTCAATTTGTTTTCTTAAGGTACACTTGGAGATAAGTTCAATATTAAATTCAATATCAAATTCAATTCAAAGTTTCTCTTTTTTCCAGTCTTGTCTTACTATTTACTTCTTCAATCTATAGAATCTTCTCTTTTTTTTGCAAAGAAAGACCGATGTCTTTTAGTTATTTGTGTATCTCTGTTAGAAGTGTTTGTACACTCAGCAAAAGAGAAAAAGGAAAAGAAGAAGAAGAAGAAGAAGAAGATGAAGAAGAAGAAAAAGAAAAAGAAATGAGAGTCCAGAATCCCCTCATCCACTTCGATGAGTGCCGTTTCAAGCCCCATTTTCACGTTCATCGAAAATTTTCAACAATTTGTTTTTCGATAGATCTCTTGTCGTGTACTTTGTTAAATCTGGAAATGAAATCTTTCAAGCGCACTGAATTCTTCAAATTTTCTCGCAACAAGAGCATTGCATGAAAAAAGAAGAATTCAGTGCGCCAGAAATTGCCTACAACAGAAATTGCGTACAGATTTCACAAAGTTTTTCACTTCGAGAAGCCCATATTGTGCGTAATTTGTGCTCAGAACTTGTAAACGCACCTTTCCTGGTGTGCTCATTTTTTCTTATAAGTTTAAGCAACCGAAAAAAACAATAATAACATTGCCAATCGATTGCCCGACCCCGAAAACCCCGGGTAAAATAGACATGGTTTTTTGGCAAAATCAGATCGGGTCGAATCGGATCGGGCTAGCCTGATCGATCGGATCTATCGAATCGGATCGGGCTAGACTGATCGATGGGATCTATCGGATCGGATCGGGCTAGACTGATCGATCGGATCTATCGGATCGGATCGGGCTAGCCTGATCGGTCGGATCTATCGTTTCGAATCGAATCGGTCGGATCTATCGGATCGAATCGGATCGATCGAATCTATCGGATCGATCGAATCTATCGGATCGAATTGGGCTAACCTGATCGGTCGGATCTATCGAATCGGATCGGATCGGGCTAGCCTGATCGGTCGGATCTATCGTTTCGAATCGAATCGGTCGGATCTATCGGATCGGATTGGGCTAACCTGATCGGTCGGATCTATCGTTTCGAATCGAATCGGTCGGATCTATCAGATCGAATCGGATCGATCGAATCTATCGGATCGGATTGGGCTAACCTGATCGGTCGGATCTATCGAATCGGATCGGATCGGGCTAGCCTGATCGGTCGGATCTATCGTATCGAATCGAATTGGTCGGATCTATCAGATCGAATCGGATCTATCATATCGAATCAGATCGGTGGAATCTATCGGATCAGATCGGATCGGGCTAGCCTGATCAATCAGGTCTATCGAATCGGTCCTGATCCGATCCGATAGCCATGTCTACCCCCCGGGTACAAATTTAGAGCTGAATATCTTTTTTTGTGTCACTGTTTTCTTTTTTGTGTCACGTCTTTGTCATGACTATGACCCGTCTTTGTCATTTTCGTTAAAAACTAATTTTTTTTTAACGAAAAATGAATAGACAATGATAAAAAGGATATTAAAATACAAAAAGATGAGTAGTAATGCTTTCTACATTGTTTAAAACTATGCCAGATGTTTAAAGCTATGCCAGATGCTTAGCACACGTAGCCACCCTGTACAATGATACTTTATTCAGATGATAAAGTGAGACCCAATAAATCATCGACAAATGCATAGCGTAGAGACAAATGTAGAGATGTAAGGATGTAGAGACAAAGGAAAGGTACGAAGATACAAGATACTTGGTTCGATCACTTTCTTTATCCACCAGAAAAGGTGCATTTGATTTTGAGCACAAATTACACTTTGCAGGAAATATTTCAGAGTGTTTTATGCTCAATTTTTTTTTTTATTTAGGGTTTTTTGTGTGCGGCATTTGTATGCTCATAAATTCTCTGCTAATCTTCGCCACTTGCTTGCCGCTCGTATGGCCGAGTAAACGAGAAAGTGACTTATATAGGTGAGATAACAAAAAAAGAAAATTTCCTTTCTTTCCTTTAAAAATTTTCTTTTAAAAAATTTCCTTTAAAGATCTTGCACCAATAAAGTTAAAAAAAAGAGAAATTTGCGTTTTTTTTGAGATATAACACATATTAATTAATAATTAATAGAAAAAGAAATAGATAAAAGAATAATAAAAGAATAATAAGGGAGTGGGACAAATGCGACGTTTTTTTTGCGCACCTGGACATTTGCGCACCTTTTTTTTGCTGGAAAAGGCCTTAGGAAAGGTCGTAGAGCTTCAAAAATGTTTTCATAGAAGGGAATCGTATGCGTAGATTCCGAATTTCGACAAATCAGACCTCGTTGACCCGTCAAATTTGGGCTAAAAGGCAAAAACTACGCAACTTAACGCTTTTTCGCAGTTTTTGCCTTTTAGCCCAAATTTGACGTGTCAGCGAGGTCTGATTTGTCGAAATTCGGAATTTACGCATACGATTCCCTTATATGGAAATATTTTTGAAGCTCTACGACCTTTCCTAAGGCCTTTTCCAGCAAAAAAAAAGGTGCGCAAATGTCCAGGTGCGCAAAAAAAGGTCGCATTTGTCCCACCCCCTTGTTTATTGCTAAACAAAGGCTTAAACTAAACAAACTTAAAGGCTCGGTTAAAAAGTGAATTAGATTACCGTAAATATTCTAATAGAAGAGGGCCTATAGGAGCGTCGCGTAGTCTAAGTTTGCTCTCAAACAAACGCTCATATCTTGACACCAGTACGTTTATTTTTGCGCGTTTTGGTATCAAATTAAAGTAGAGAGAATAGGCAATTTTTGAGATATAACACATATTTTTAACTTTAACCAGCGCTTAGAAAAAATGATTGAAAAATGATGAAAAATTGGCGCTTTTTTGTCACTTTTTCCTTTTCCAGACGTTTCCGCGCCAATTAAATCGGTAACAAAAATTTTGATTGTAAATTTCAGAGCTCTACAAGCCAAGTACAACCCATTGGTGCGACCGGTGCGCGATCCCGAACGAGCATTGAATGTTTCGATGAAAGTTTTCTTGCAGCAAATTATCGATGTGGTGAGTGTTAAGTTCTATTTTATGTACTTTGTAAGTTAAAAGTTTTGTAAATTTAATTAGAAATTGATTAGAAATTTGAAAAATATAGAACTTTATAGAACGAAAAGGATCAAATCATCGAAGTGAACGCGTGGCTGCAATTCGTGAGTTCGGAGTTTTGTTCGGAGTTCAGAGCTTTCAAGAGCTCAAAGTACACTTTGAGCTCTTGAAAATGCAAGGGATTTGGTACACTGGATGGGTGTAATCCTCTGCCAGTTTCCGTGCGTTTCTAACAAAGCACAAAGCACTTTGTTCTCTGTACAAAGCACTGCCAGAGTACCTGCTAGAGTACAAAGCACTGCCAGAGTGCCTGCCAGAGTACAAAGCACTGCCAGAGTACAAAACACTGCCAGAGTACAAAGCACTGCTAGAGTACAAAGCACTGCTAGAGTACAAAGCACTGCTAGAGCACAAAGCACTGCCAGAGTACCTGCTAGAGTACAAAGCACTGCCAGAGTGCCTGCCAGAGTACAAAGCACTGCCAGAGTACAAAGCACTGCTAGAGTACAAAGCACTGCTAGAGTACAAAGCACTGCTAGAGTACAAAGCACTGCTAGAGTACAAAGCACTGCTAGAGTACAAAGCATTGCCAGAGTACAAAGCATTGCCAGAGTACAAAGCACTGCTAGAGTACAAAGCACTGCCAGAGTGCCTGCTAGAGTACAAAGCACTGCTAGAGTACAAAGCACTTTGCTCTTTGTACTTTGCTCTTTGTACTCTGGCAGATTGAATTTCTCCTTCCACTAGCTGCTTGTCTATTTTTATCTAAACTAACAAACTGTCTATTTTGTATCCAGAGCTATCCAAAGCTATCCAAAGCTATGCTTTAACTATTTATCTACTGAAATGATTCTGTAAATCTTAGAAATGGAAAGATTACCGACTACGCTGGAGTCCATCACGATTCGAAAACATTACTTCCGTGCGATTTGCTACATCTGAAGATGGAGGACCATTGTGGAGACCGGATGTGTTACTGTACAACAGGTTGATCATTTTGATAAACTTAAACAAAACTAAACAAGTATAAAAATACATTTATTCACATGAATAATTTGGTACAAACAATACAAACAACAATACAAACAACAATACAAACAACAATAGAAACAACAATACAAACAACAATACAAACAACAATACAAACAACAATACAAACAACCCCAGCACTCCAACTTCTAAGCCCTAATCAATGAGAAAAAAACCGAATAATCGCAATTTCTGGAAAATCTAATCATTCATCATTAATCTAGCCGGTAGGCTTGAACTCTTGACCTCCCGAGTACCAGGATGGACTAGGGAAAAGCACTAGGATTTGGAAAGCGTGTGAAAAACTCAACAGGATAGGATAGGTCTCGTGTTGAAATTTCACCTTGATTTGGTGACCTTCTCTAGTTGACTAACCGTTGACTAACCGTTAAAAAGTTGCGGAGAATCGTTGTGAAGACCGGATATGTTACTGTACAACAGATTGATCATTTTGATAAACTTTAAACAAAAACCAAACAAATTTAAGGCTAATAAAAACAAGTTTTCATTAGCTTAAGCCTAGCCGAATTCAAGTCAAAAGCATTTGTCCTGTCCAGGGTTGATTCAAAAGTGCCTACAAGACTTTGAATCTGAAGCGCTGACGGGTCAAATCACCTCTAAGCTTAAAAAGTGTTGTTTTTGAGTTTTTCTCTTATCTCAAAGCTTCTTTCATTGGCCACTCATTGCATTTGTTATTAGGCTATCTTTCTCATTCACACACTCATTTTCAGCGCCGACGAGCAATTCGATTCGATGTTCAAAAGCAATATGGTTGTCTCGAACACTGGCGAGATTCAATGGGTACCGCCTGGGGTTTTCAAAGTGACTTGCAAGGTTTGTGCACGATGAATTGGATGTGTACGGTGAATTGGATGTGTACGGTGAATTGGATGTGTACGGTGAATGTTCAATTGGAAATCTTTTGGGCAAGGCCAGGATCAAGTCAGATCACACAAGGATCAGGGCCAGACTAGACTTGATCAGGTCAGAGCCGGACTGGAATCAGGATCAGGATCAAGAACAGATCTGGATCAGACCCAGTCAACATTTTTGCACTTCGTGTTACATTTTGGACTAGGCTTGGCTTGGAATAGGGCCACTAGGCTTGACTTGGGATAGGGCCACTAGGCTTGGCTTGGAATAGGGCCACTAGGCTTGGCTTGGGATAGGGCCACTAGGCTTGGCTTGGAATAGGGCCACTAGGCTTGGCTTGGGATAGGGCCACTAGGCTTCGCTTGGGATAGGGCCACTAGGCCTGGCTTGGAATAGGGCCACTAGGCTTCGCTTGGGATAGGGCCACTAGGCTTGGCTTGGAATAGGGCCACAAGCCAGGCCTGGCCCTGGCCAGACCACAAACCAGGCCTGGCCTAAGCCTAAGCCTAAGTCTAAGACCACAAGCCGGGTCTGGCCCTGGCCTGGTTCTAGTTGTGAAAAACCAAGTGCTGGTTAGACCTGCCAACCTGATCCTTGGCTGACTCAGGTTTGGTTCTGGCTTCGTCTTGATCTAACAGGCCAACTTGGTTCTGATCTAGCTGATTTTCAATCCAGATTGACATCACTTGGTTTCCATTCGATTCGCAGACGTGTTTCATGAAATTCGGCTCATGGTCTTATCACGGCAAAGCGATTGATTTATTAATCGATACTGAGGAATCTGGTAATGGATTGGTGATAAGCTAGTGATAAACTTCAGTGATAAACTGATAAACTGTAACATTCCAGGTATTATCGTAAGCCAAGATAAAAAGTATTCAGCTAGCAATACTGAATCTCCTTTTAGGTGAATCAATGGACCTTTCAACTTACGTGAGCAACGGGGAATGGCTTCTTGTTGGTAGATTTTAATGAATTGTTAACATTTCAAAAATTTAGATGCCCCGGCGATTCGTGAGACGAAATATTACGCTTGTTGCGAAGAGCCGTATCCAACAATCAAATTTTACATCTATATTAAGGTGAGCTGGGTTTGGATCATGGCCAGGGCATAGGCTAGAGCTCCATGGCTCCATGAATAGGTCCATGGCTCCATGAATAGGTCCATGGCTCCATGAATAGGTCCATGGCTCCATGAATAGCTATAGCTCCATGAATAGCTATAGCTCCATGAATAGCTCCATAGCTCCATGAATAGCTCCATAGCTCCATGAATAGCCCCATAGCTCCATGAATAGCTCCATGACTCCATGAATAGCTCAATGGCTCCATGAATAGCTCCATGGCTCCATTAATAGCTCCATGGCTCCATTAATAGCTCCATGGCTCCATGAATAGCTCCAATCGATTGCCCGACCCGGAAAATCCCCGAATACAAATTTACTGGGTAAAACTGGACAAAATTGAGCCAGTTTTCTTCGTTTCTAGGCATCACTAGGTTCTTGAGCGCAATTTTCCCTCAATTTTGTCTCCATTTTCCCTCTATTTTATCTCTATTTTCTGGCAAAATAGAGAGATTAAGAGATTTTCAGCAAAATTCATTTTCAATCCCTTCAGCGTCGAACTCTCTTCTACGCATTCAACTTGATCATCCCATCTTTATTGATTTCAATCATGACTCTGATGTGTTTCTGTCTTCCGGCTCACGATATGGCTGAGAAAATTGGATACCGTATGGAAAATTTAGCTCTGACGATCAAAAACTTGAATCAATTCAATCAATTCAATCAATTCAATCAATTCTTGAAATTCTTGAACACAATTTTCATTTCAGAAACCACAATCCTCCTATCCGTTTGTTTCTTCTTGACGGTTCTTTCCGAAATGACACCGAACACGTCAGAGGCTTTACCGCTTATTGGTGAGTGCTTGGAGATAGGGTTTAGTACAGTAGTACAGTTTAGTACAGTAGGCAAATCCAGGCTTGATCTGGATCTGAATTTATCTACTGTACTTGATAAATTCAATTCAGTCTACTATACTTGATAAATTCAAGACAGTAATATGGCATTAGTCTGTCTGAAAAGTTCTTTCCACATTAGTAGATTTGTCTCTAAAGGTAATCCCAAAAGTTCTCGCACAACTTTTTGTAAAAGCAGCTAACAAATGTCTAATTGATTTTATTTGTAAGTGTTATATAGAGATTTGAAGCCTTAATTCTTAGCTACATTTACATAGACATGTGCATAGACTTACATGTACATAGGCGTACATGTACATAGACGTACATGCACGTAAATTAGAAGTTTTACGGTATTCTTATTGTTATTAAATAATAGTAAATCTTACATTTTAATAAAATAAACAAAAGAAAAGCTCTTTTAAAAAGCTTTTTAGAAAGAAAATCATCAAAAATGGTAGCGTGCCGGGAAGAGACGGAGTAGTGTTCACTCAAAAGCCTGTCAAATGAGTTGTGTGACTCCAATTCGAAAGCTTTTGATATGCAAGTGTAGCTAAGAATTAAGGCTTTAAATCTCTATATAACACTTACCACTTTTGAAATAAGCCAAACATTTTCTAGCTGCTTAAGTTTGCGGAACTTTTGGGATCACCCTGTAGTTAGGTATTAGGCTTGGAACTTTTGTTGGCAATCGAGTTTATTCCCAGTCCTAGTTAAATGCGAGCGTTTGAACTCTGAGATTTCTCTAGGCGGATTTCTCTAGGCATTTTCTTCTCAACCGTCACTCTGATCTTATCCTGTTCCACCGCTTTTACAATCACCGTTTTGTCACTACGATATCGACAACCAGCAAATCATCGAATGACGAAAGGGGTCGGTTTACAAATACCAAAAGTATTCCGTTTCACTGTGCCAGACGGTGTGCGTTTAGTAATATGCTACAATAGAATACGCATAAAACGGTGTGCACAAACTGTAAACACATTCTTTCTAGCGCACTCAAATCTTCTTATTTTCTTATCACCGATAAAGCTACCTTTCAGATGCGATTCTTTTTTACCCAATGGCTTCCATGGTTGTTGATGATGAGACGACCTGGGCATCGTTTTCAGAAAGGACGAGCAAAAGTGGTTGAAGAGGAAAAGGAGGAAACAAAACAGGATGTAAAAACATTGAAAGTTGACTGATTTCGACAACTTGTGCGCGGCTCAGACAACTTGTGCGCGGCTCAGACAACTTGTGCGCGGCTCAGACAACTTGTGCGCGGCTCAGACAACTTGTGCGCGGCTCAGACAACTTGTGCGCGGCTCAGACAACTTGTGCGCAGCTCAGACACTTTGTGCCCGGCTCAGACAACTTGTGCGCAGCTCAGACACTTTGTGCCCGGCTCAGACAACTTGCGCGGCTCAGACAACTTGTGCGCAGCTCAGACACTTTGTGCCCGGCTCAGACAACTTGTGCGCGGCTCAGACAACTTGTGCGCGGCTCAGACAACTTGTGCGCGGCTCAGACACTTTGTGCCCGGCTCAGACAACTTGTGCGCGGCTCAGACAACTTGTGCGCAGCTCAGACACTTTGTGCCCGGCTCAGACAACTTGTGCGCGGCTCAGACAACTTGTGCGCAGCTCAGACACTTTGTGCCCGGCTCAGACAACTTGTGCGCGGCTCAGACAACTTGTGCGCAGCTCAGACAACTTGTGCGCGGCTCAGACAACTTGTGCGCGGCTCAGACAACTTGTGCGCGGCTCAGACAACTTGTGCGCAGCTCAGACAACTTGTGCGCAGCTCAGACAACTTGTGCGCGGCTCAGACAACTTGTGCGCGGCTCAGACAACTTGTGCGCGGCTCAGACAACTTGTGCGCGGCTCAGACAACTTGTGCGCGGCTCAAAGAGCTAACTATTTTAAAAAAAGCTATGATCTGCTATGAAATCTTGATTAGTTTAAGTAAATAAGCTGGTTTTTAGTATAAATTTATTAAGGTTTCCATTTAAATAGCTTTCCTCGGTCATTTGAAAATCAAGTTTTAGTAAAAAGTTGTACGAGAACTTTTGGATCATCTTGTAGATTGTGGAACCCAAATCGAATCGAGTCTCATTGCAAGTTGATGAGGAGCATTTGGAAGTGGCGAGAGTGAGAAGATCGGAGACACTTCTTGATGTGTTATGTGATGTGCCGAAAGAGCAATTGTTGTTGGAGCGAAAGGTGAGAGATATCAAAACTGAATGATTGGCCTTTCAATGGATGCATAAAAGATACTGTACCTTGTAGCTTGATTTTAGCTAATTTTAGCTAATTTTAGCTTTCTTTGTCATTTCCAAAGAATTAAAACCGTCGATAAAGCGTTTTACAAAAGATGCTCTTAAGACAAAGCTACAGTGTTCATATTTGGATAAGATTGTAGGACATTTGATATGCGCCCCGCCCCTTTTACTTTGAGCTCAAATTTCTTGGTGTCTTTGTCTTAAAAAATTGAAAAGAAAGTCGATTTTGGCAGCGTCGATCACTTGTCAACTTTGAGCTCAAATTTCTTGGTGTTAAGCTGTCCAATTTAAATATTCTTTGCAGCATTCGATGCGCCAAGACATTCTCTGTCGATTGGGACAAAAACTATTTAGATTGGACAACTCAGTCCCAAGATATTCAAACTCAAAGTTAGATTGCCAATGGCAAAAGGGGAGAGCGCCTTTTATACGCCCCGCCCCCTTTGCCATTGGCAATCTAGTTAGATTGTCTAGTTTGATCTAGTTACTTTGATCTATTTAGAACAAAGTTAGACTGCCAATGGCAAAGGGGCCGGGCGAGTAAAAAGACATTTGATACTCGCCCCGCCCCTTTTGCCATTGGCAATCTAACTTTGAGTTTGAATATCTTGGGACTGAGTTGTCCAATTGAAATAGTTTTTGTACCAATTGACAGAGAAAGGCTTGACGCATCTAATGATACCAAGAACAATAAAATTGAACAGCCCAACACCAAGATATTTAAGTTCAAAGTCAGATTGCCAATGGCAAAAGGGGCGGGGCGAGTATCAAATGTCCGATAATGATAATGATAGCAGGATCTGGCTTAGACATCATCCGGGTACTGTAGCTTTGGAACACAGTCTACAGAACAGTCAAGCGGGGTACTGTAGCAGCCTTACACTTGTATCTAGCAAGTGCTGCGCAAGAACTTTGACATCTAGACTCTAGAATCAGCAGAAATCTAGAATCGAGAACTTTATCAGGGCATCAGGAATATTATACTGTAGCTTTGGATGCAGCTTTTATAAATGCTTTGTGAAGCACAGTTTAGAGAACAGTCAAATAGGCCTAACAAGCACTGCAAATGCACAATTTGAAATCTTTATCTCAAAAGCTTTATCAGAAGCATCAGGGACATCGTTCGTGTCCTGTAGCTTTGCTTCGATACATCTTATGGCTAGAAAACACTTCATCGAGAGGAATGCAGTTAATAGAACAGAAGCAGGGATACTGCATCAAACTCGTGTCTAGCAGTGAAGAAAAGAGTATTGTAGAAATCTAGTCTTGTGCCTAAAAGCCACCCAATCAGGAATACTGTAACCTTTGTCTATCAGTGAGAGTACTGTAGCAGTCTAGCACTTGTACCTAGAGATTAGCAGTACCACTGGAGATTAGCAGTACTTTAGCCCTGGACATTAGCAGTACTTTACAGTCTGTAAGTCGGAATCTGTAAGTCGAAAGCTTTATCAGAAGCATCAGGGACATCGTTCGTGTCCTGTAGCTTTGTTTCGATACATCTTATGGCTAGAAAACACTTCATCGAGAGGAATGCAGTTAATAGAACAGAAGCAGGGATACTGCATCAAACTCGTGTCTAGCAGTGAAGAAAAGAGTACTGTAGAAACCTAGTCTTGTGCCTAAAAGCCAGCCAATCAGGAATCCTGTAACCTTTGTCTATCAGCGTCTATCAACCTTTGTCTATCAGCGTCTATCAACCTTTGTCTATCAGTGAGAGTACTGTAGCAGTCTAGCACTTGTACCTAGAGATTAGCAGTAGCACTGGAGATTAGCAGTACTTTAGCCCTGGACATTAGCAGTACTTTAGCACTGGAGATTAGCAGTACTTTAGCACTGAACATTAGCAGTACTGTCTGGATTTACAGTCTGGAATCTGTGAGTCGAAAGCTTAACCAAAGCCGATTTAAGACAGCTAAGACAGCTAAGACTAAGACAGCTTTACGATTATTAACTATTAAACTAAACTAAAACTAAATCCAATTCAGGTAGGCGAAGGTCTGTTCGCCGCAAATCGTCAACAATCGATCGAGTCCCGGCGGAGCAATCAAATGGAAAAGTATATCAAGCGATGCATTGAGACAACCGTAGATCAAGGTTGGATAATGTTAGAATAATTTTATTCCAAAAAACTTTAGGCTGTGAAGAGAATGACTACACGATTCGAGTCTTCGAGTACTTTCAGGCGATTCACTCGCAATTAAAGCTCATTCGAGAGGAGATTGATAAGAAAAATGCTTTGCAAGATACATTGGTTTGTGCGTTTCCGGAAATTCGGCTTTAGAAATTCGACTCTTTAGACAAAATACGAGCCTAAAAAGCTATCATATGCAAAACTCAAAAAGCCAATTCGATTCTCTAGGGATTTTTCTTGGGACAAAGAGTTAAAATCAATCAATCAATCGATTCCGCCAATCGTTTCTACGATCTTGAAAACAAATTTTTAACATTAAATCATTTGTGAATCATTTACAGAACAAAAGAAAGATTATAGATTGATTTTTGGGTCAATTATAGATAGATCAATTTTTGCTTCAAACTCAATTTGTGCTGTGCTTGACTATGGCTGAGAAGTTTCGTAACATTAACAAAGTTTGGGGCCAAGGCAGTGTCGGCGAGTCTTGTGCGAACAGTGCGAACTTGGTTCCGAAAATTCCGAGCTGATGATTTTGTCAAATTTAGTCAGATAGGGAACCAAATTTAGATAGATAGATAAAGATAAAGAAAATAAAGAAAGCCTCGAAGATAAAGAAGGCCGTGGCCGTCCTGTTGAACTCGGTGACGACGAATTGAAGACCCTGGTGGAAGCAAATCCACGTACGACTATTCGAGTGCTTGCGGCGGAGCTTCGCGTGGGCAAGACGACCATTTCCGACCACTTGAAACGGATTGGAAAGTCAAGAAAGCTCGATAAATGGGTGCCGCACGAATTGAATGAAAATCAAAAAACCTTGGGACAATCTTGGGACAAAGAGTTAAAATCAACTCCACCAATCGTTTCTACGATCTTGAAAACAAATTTTTAACATTAAATCATTTGTGAATCATTTACAGAACAAAAGAAAGATTATAGATTGATTTTTGGGCTCAATTTCTGCTTCAAGTTTGACTATGGCTGAGAAATTTAAGGTTGAAACAAGATTTGAGCACAAAGTATAAGTTTATCTCAGAACTTTAGCTCAGAACGCAAACAAGCAAGCTAAGCTGGCAAACAGCTAACCTAGCAAGCAGCTAAGCTAAGCTAGCAATCAGCTAAGCAAAGCTAGCAAGAAGCTAAGCTAAGCTAGCAATCAGTTAAGCTAAGCTAGCAAGCAGCTAAGCTAAGCTAGCAATCAGCTAAGCAAAGCTAGCAAGAAGCTAAGCTAAGCTAGCAATCAGCTAAGCTAAGCTAGCAAGCAGCTAAGCTAAGCTAGCAAGCAGCTAAGCTAGCAAACAAGCAGCTAAGCTAAGCTAGCAATCAGCTAAGCAAAGCTAGCAAGAAGCTAAGCTAAGCTAGCAAACAAACAAGCTAATAGTCACTTTTTAAAGCTGATAACTTAGAATAGATCAAGCTAAAGTCAAAAAGAATAATTTCCAGGAAGAATGGAAATTCGCGGCGATGTGTCTTGACCGACTTTGCCTTATTGTTTTCTCCGCTTTCCTCTCCACCTCAATTTTTATCATTTTCTATTCAGCTCCATATTTGAATGCTTGAAAATAAATAAATATAACTTTTGAATTTGCAATCGTTGTCAAAGAAATCGTTGTCAAAGAAAAGCTGAAGCATTCGGAAAAGGAAATCAAATCAACCGCCGAATGGGAAAAATGAAAAAAAAGAGGAGAAAAGGGAAAAGAACGAGCATTTTCTTGATGGAGTGACGTCTGCTGGAACGACTTTTTGAGATTTGAGCTAAAAATAAAGAGAAAAAAGTAGACTACAGCCTAAAAAGTCCCTTTAGCAGTGCCCCTTTAGCAGTTAGTAGTTAGTAGTTAGTCGTAAAGTAGTTATAAAACTGTTTTATGCCATTGATTTTGGATTGAAATCAAGAGATTAAGCTGATAAAGCTGATAAAGGGCTTCAGCTTGATAAACACTATTCTTTGTGCTTAACTCAATAAAATAAATATCTCTAATCGATTGCCCGACCCCGAAAACCCGCGGTTACAAATTTATAGCCAAATATCTTTTTTTGAAGCAATCTACAAGGCAAAAGAGAAAAGAGAAAGATGACTGGCAAAGTGTTCTTTGTGAGGCCGCGTAATGGCTTGCGATCTGGCAAAGAGATCTGGTATAAAGGCCTTTTGGGATATCTGGCAAACCCACCCCTCCAGTAGATCTGTCAAACCCACCCCTCCAGTACGTGCTCCCTTTCGGAACGGTCTCTGGCGCAGTGGGGAGCGCGCTCGTCTACGGTTCACGCGACCGGTTCGACCTGGGCTCCCCATACTGCCACTGAATTCTATTTCTTTCATTTTTTAGCTCAAATCGCACAACTATATTATGCAAAAAGTGGAAAATGCAATCTGGCATGCAATACTAGAAGGGCAGCGGATCGTCACCTTTTGGATGCGATTTTGGTTTCGTATGGCCTGGATGCAATGGTGGTCCAATCATATAGGATGGGTATCTTCTCTCCGTTTCAACCTAGGCCTCTGACGGTGATTTTTGGCTCTACACACGGCTCTTCCTGGTATCGGGGTTTCCCTTTTTCCCTCAAGAAAAAGGAACGAGCAGCGAATAAGCCAGTTTTCTCCTTTTCAGTCAGTTAGTTTTCTATGCTTTCTAGTCGTCACTATGCTCGAAATTTTGAAATCAATTTTTGCCTTAAATTTGGATGTATTTTTGCTACAAATTCTCCATCCTTTCAAATCATTGTTTTACTTAAACAGTAGAAAAATTGAGAGAACAATGTTTGACTTGAGCCTCCTGAGCGTCCTGTTTCTTAATTTTCTCAGGATTCCTTTATTCAATAATTTCTATTTTGTATCATTCAAAAATATGGCCTATACAAAATAAGCAATAATTTATTTGCAAGCAAAAAAATGAATAATCAGAACGTTTCAAATTTTAGCTGGAAGCACCTTTTTGCAGAGCCCACTACGAAGAGTGGTTGGGCCCTGAAATGGGGAAATTTAATAATATTTTGTTATAAAATAGTTATAATAGTTATAATAGTTATAATAGTTATAATAGTTAGTATACGGAGCTACGGAGCAATATAACGATTTGAAGACTTTTTTGCGGTCTAAACCGGGTGTCGCTAATAAAAGTCAAAAATCAAAAGACATCTTGCGTCAAAAGAATTCGCGTGGGATAAAAATGAATAAAATATTCAGAAATTAGACCACAATGGTAGAATTGTTTGCCAAAAAGTACGCTTATTTTTGTTATTAAAAATGTTTTAAGCCTTTGGGAATGGTGCAAGCCTTTTTTTGATGACTGTAATTAGAAATTATAATATTGTGAAACCTTAATGTCATCCCATTTTCGCAGAGTCTCCGGGGCATCGTGTTGAATCGGATTTGCGTACATCTGAAAGAAAAAGAAATCAGCTTTAGTACTTTGTGCTCAAATTTGTAAACACAAACTTTCTAGTGCACTTAAATCTCTCGATTTTCCCTCAATTCCGAGCTATTACTATGGAAAAATGAGGAAATGACCGTCAGAAAGGGTACGTTTTCAGTACATACACAGTACATACCAAGCACAAAGTACATACAACTTATTGTTAGAGAGGTTCTATGGTGGATTTTCTCCTGTAAACTCACTCTTTCTGGTGCACTGTGTTTTCGACTTTTCTCACAGCAAGAAAAATAAAGAATTCAGTTCAAAAGGAGTATGTTTACCTTGGGATACAAAGGAGACAAGGCCAGCAAATGGATAAGGCCAGCAAATGGATAAGGCCAGCAAATGGATAAGGCCAGCAAATGGATAAGGCCAGCAAATGGATAAGGCCAGCAAATGGATAAGGCCAGCAAATGGATAAGGCCAGCAAATGGATAAGGCCAGCAAATGGATAAGGTCAGTAAATGTAACGATATACTGTACTTTAAAAGATCTAAATATTCACTACCGTAATTTCATATCTAATTAGATTAACTAAATTAGCTATAGTAATCAGCATTTGCTGGCCTTATTCATTTGCTGGCCTTATTCATTTGCTGGCCTTATTCATTTGCTGGCCTTATTCATTTGCTGGCCTTATAGTAATTAACTTTATAGTATTTTTTTTTCAAAACCCGACCAAGACTCCATAAATCCCGGGGCCCGGGTTCGGTTCTCCGTCGAGGAAATTCTGGAAGGATAGCGGGGAACCGTCAGTCCAAGACATTGTCTAAAAAGGATTAGACTTTAGAAACCGAATCTTTACAGCATTAAATCATTAGTATTAAACTAGTTGCCATGTTATCGATCTTCAATCCGATCCACGCCAAATCTTGCCAACTCTTCAAGTAGGGCACCTCCATTAGCACTAAATTTGGTGAAAATTGGTGTATAGCAAAGCTACAGTAATCCGGAATGAAAAGTATTCAGTTGATAAACTAAATAGCTATGATTGGAGTTAATGATATTTACAACTGAATGTGCTGGTCAAATCAACCGCGACATTAAAACCCTAGCTTCCGCGAGCTGAGAATGGCCTAGTGGCCTAGTGGTAGTGATGGCCTAGTGAGCTGAGAATGACCTAATGGCCCAGTGCAGCGATGGCCTAATGGTAGTGAGTTAGGATGCAGGGCGAGGGTTCCCTGGTTCGTGTCCGGTAGCTGGTCGTGTTTTTTTCTTTTTTTAGGTTTTAATGCCTTGTGGGTTCTCTATAGCTCCTTCACTTATGGACCTCCTTTAAACTTATGGACCTCCTCACCAATTCATTCAACAGTGCCACAGGAATAGCTAAAAAAAACTTCTCTAAAACGGAGACTGCTCAAGGCATTAAAACCTAAAAAAGACAATCAGCTACCGGACTCGAATCAGAGACCACTCGCCTTGCGTACCGTAATCCAGCTAATCTAGACTGAATATCCTAATCTAGAGTAAATACCGTAATCCAGCTAATCTATATTGAATATCATAATCTAGACTAGATACGGTCATCCGTTATCTAGACCCCGTTAATCACTACCACTCAGCCACCCCTGCAACCGAGGCCTTCCCGGAAAATAGGGTTATAAGTTTGATTTTTGTTTGATTTTTGATTTTTTGGTAATTTTTGATCACCGGTTTAATTTTTTGTAACTCCTTACAAAACTTTAAACTCGTATAACTTTTGACAGAGTGCTCCGTAGCAAAAAAGAAAAGCAGCAGCATGATCAGCGTGAAATTCTGCGTTGAAGAATGACTCATGTGACAGTTACAGTGGTTTGTAGTCCTGACACGATTGCTCCGACTACGCGCGAGTACGGTCCGTTTCGAGTCAGTTCGTCACTTTTGTAGTCTATAGTGCCCATGTCTAGCTGGGCTTTACAGTATTTTGAAGAAAATAACAAACTTGACGCAAATCGGTTCTCAGTTCTCGAGTGGATCGACGTGAGATGAGCGCCGAAAACAGAGCACGCCGCCTCGGCTTCGAGAAAACCGTAGGCACCGTCAGGGAGCTGAAATAAACGTACTGATATGTACAATATCGTAGTGTTGAACCGATGTACTTTGTGCTCAAATAAACGCATGATTTCTGGCAAACTCGGAGTCAGAATCAGTTCCTCAGTAGCCCAAAGAAGAATTTGGTGTGCCAGAAAATGCGTGTTTTGAAGAGCTACTATTTTTTGGAGAGTTTGGCATAACTTTGACTTCTTTTCCTAACTATACTGCATTTACAAACCATATAGTAACAAGCTTCAGTCTTTGGGAAAAGCGTCCATCCATGCGGACACTCGGATCCCGATTGAGCCTCGTGCAAGCATCGGGATAAAGCGTTGTACTCGATCGAACAGATTTCTGAAATTTGGTGATCGGCTATGATATTACAAGCGTTTAAACTTTCTAAGGCTTAAAATTACTTTCACAGCTCATTTTCCCGCTATCGAATTGTCTATTCAGCTTCTATTCTATTAGGCTATCCAAAAGAACCTTCAGAGAGAAAAAAGTGTGTTTTTCGAGAAGTTTTGATGTTAAATTTGAATTTCGCATTCCAATTGACGTCGCATTCCAATTGACGTCGCATTCCAATTGACGTCGCATTCCAATTGACGTCGCATTCCAATTGACGTCGCATTCCAATTGACGTCGCATTCCAATTGACGTCGCATTCCAATTGACGTCGCATTCCAATTGACGTCGCATTCCAATTGACGTCGCATTCCAATTGACGTCGCATTCCAATTGACGTCGCATTCCAATTGACGTCGCATTCCAATTGACGTCGCATTCCAATTGACGTCGCATTCCAATTGACGTCGCATTCCAATTGACGTCGCATTCCAATTGACGTCGCATTCCAATTGACGTCGCATTCCAATTGACGTCGCATTCCAATTGACGTCGCATTCCAATTGACGTCGCATTCCAATTGACGTCGCATTCCAATTGACGTCGCATTCCAATTGACGTCGCATTCCAATTGACGTCGCATTCCAATTGACGTCGCATTCCAATTGACGTCGCATTCCAATTGACGTCGCATTCCAATTGACGTCGCATTCCAATTGACGTCGCATTCCAATTGACGTCGCATTCCAATTGACGTCGCATTCCAATTGACGTCGCATTCCAATTGACGTCGCATTCCAATTGACGTCGCATTCCAATTGACGTCGCATTCCAATTGACGTCGCATTCCAATTGACGTCGCATTCCAATTGACGTCGCATTCCAATTGACGTCGCATTCCAATTGACGTCGCATTCCAATTGACGTCGCATTCCAATTGACGTCGCATTCCAATTGACGTCGCATTCCAATTGACGTCGCATTCCAATTGACGTCGCATTCCAATTGACGTCGCATTCCAATTGACGTCGCATTCCAATTGACGTCGCATTCCAATTGACGTCGCATTCCAATTGACGTCGCATTCCAATTGACGTCGCATTCCAATTGACGTCGCATTCCAATTGACGTCGCATTCCAATTGACGTCGCATTCCAATTGACGTCGCATTCCAATTGACGTCGCATTCCAATTGACGTCGCATTCCAATTGACGTCGCATTCCAATTGACGTCGCATTCCAATTGACGTCGCATTCCAATTGACGTCGCATTCCAATTGACGTCGCATTCCAATTGACGTCGCATTCCAATTGACGTCGCATTCCAATTGACGTCGCATTCCAATTGACGTCGCATTCCAATTGACGTCGCCGCCACTTGGAGGTAGTCGATGGGAGCGCCGCGTCGTCGTTTCTTTTTCGTTTTCAAATCATTTTTTTGTCAGATTAATTGAAAGTATTGTTTTACGTGATGAATTTTGTGTTGAAATGAGAAAGCAATCTATTCCCATTTCAAGTATGAAAACGAAAAGACTAGGAGCGAAAAGACTTTCTGGATAGCCTAATATTTCAAAAGCCATGCCCAAATCGGCGGTGCTTTGGATTTGAAAGCGGTACGTGCTGTTAGTCCTACTCAAAACCTCAAAACGCATACAAACCATCATAGTAGGCTAGCCAGGGAACTGAAATGTTTGGGCATAGAAATTGAATAGTTCTATTGAATAGTTGTATTCTATAGTACCTAGATGAGGGTAAAATCAAAGGCGCTGGCACTGGATTAACGAAGAGTCAGTCAACTCTGGACTTGTGGACTCAAATAATGCGTTTTGAAGAGCACGTAAACTGTCAAAAATTGTCAAAAACAACCGTAATATATAGTGATAAAGACTCTAGGCATATATGGCTAAATGAGTATTAGAGATACGATACTTTTCACCAATTGACAGGCTTTAGAAATCAATTAGTCGAGAGAACTACAGTCTACTCTAGGCTTTGAGAAAAACGTCCAAAGTTACCGCAATTTTTGGCAAACCGCACCTAGAAAGGGGTGCCACGCCGACCGCCAAAAGTAGCGATGGCCTAGCGGATAGTGTACTAGGCTCTGAAAACAATGCCATGTTTCCTCACGGGTTCAATTCCCCTTGGTGTCAAATTCTTTGCTTGCTTTGGAAAACTTCCGAAAAACACTTCTTTATGGTTATTATAGCTTTTTGTGGATCAGAATTAGAAGTATTGGGTTGATGCATAATTATCCGGACTTCTTTTGCGTGCTTGTATCTTTTTTGTTTTGAAAGCTTTTTGTCTATTTCTTTTTTTTAAATATTCGTTATTCTTTAGTGAACAAAATGCGTGTCGACAATCATATCCATCTTCGCCATATCATGCTCTACCACTTCGAAAAGGGATGGTCTGCCGCAGAGTCGTTTCGCGATCTCAAAGAACTGGAGAAGCCCCAACGGACTACCACGTCAATCGTCAAAATTGGCAAACAAATAAGATCTACAACGATTTGAATGACTTGATAGACGATGTTAAAGCGTGGATTGCCTCCAAAGATCGTTTATTCTTCGCTCGTGGAATCGATCGTCTTCCAAGCAAATGGCAATCAGTTATTGATGTAGGCGGTGAATATGCTCCAGAATAATCAATTAAACATATTTTTCTAACTATTTATGTTATTTTTTGTTAAATAAAATCATTTATAAAAGAAGTCCGGATAATTATGCATCAACCCAATACTAGGCGTTATGGTTATTAGTGTTTTTAAAGCAGTAGTTTAAAGCAGCAGAATTAGAAGTTTAAAGCTCTTCTAGTCAAAATGAATTCACATTTCGTCGAACAGTGGTTTCAAGAGAATAAATTATTGAGCAGAGAATAAATCATGTCATAAGCTGTCTTTAAAACTTTTGTTATTGGAACAATAAACCTTTATTTTAAGCAAAAAAAAGCTTAAGCTTTTTATAGTTTAAAAACCTTACTACTTTACAAAATATTTAATACAAAAAAACGTTATACTTGAAGCAAAGAAAAACGTTATACTTGAAGCGATAAAAGAAGCAAAGAATTTGACACCAAGCGGAGTTGAACCCGCAAGGAAAAAACGGCATTGGTTTCAGAGTCTAGCACACTATCCCCTTGGCCGCCACTGCTTTTATTGCCTTTCTGGATCGCGCCCGCCTATAGATAAGGTTTGCCAAAAACTTTGGCTTTGACAATTGTCGAAAATTTGGACCTGTTTTTCTTGAAAACCAGGGCCCATGGGTAAAAAATACATGTTTCTTAGAATTCTACGAAGCGTTTTTTAGCTAGATTCGGTTTCGAAAATCGGTGAAACAGTTCTCTAGTGAGTTTTCCCGCTTTCTAGACGTCACTATGCCCAAATTCTTGAGATCAATTTTAGGATTAAATAGATAGATCAGGTCGGTTAAAATAAAACTAACAATTATTGGGTTGGTGAATTGAAAACTGCCGGACTTTAAAAAATACCGACTAGGGCTACCAGTGGTGAATTTATCGCATACACGAAATATATCAATCACAATACAACGACACACACAATACTAGGCTATATCTTAACTTAAACCACGTCATGACAGACGGCTCCCTAACCCTAAGCTCAATGGGGAACTAAATAGCTTTTTTGGTGGTGAAGGGAAGATGACGATGAAGGAGTGGCTTGTCACTTTAAAGAACTGGGGCCACAACCACCAGACTGCCCTCCAGAAAACCTCTCAACCCGAAGGGAAAGGAAATCCGAAGGGGGTGACACTTTGAACTAAATTTAAACTAAACCGGAAATTTATTCAACATAAAACCATAAATTCATTCCAAATAATTTCCATTATTATTGACGACTTCTGCCCATTTTACAGGCAATTTGCGGATTCCTCTTTCGTAGTAGGATTTTGGTTTGTGTGTGAGACTCAAAAATGGAGGACTGGAGATGTCTCAGTCTGAGCACTTTCTTCTAAAGAAAGTGCTTTGGTGTCAATAGAAAAGTTGTAGAGAATCAAAAATTAGGCTTATAGCCAAATTTCCAAAAAGATACACTTTGTAGTTTCGCTTAAAATGTAAGTTTTGTGAAAATTTGTAAATTTGGCATTTCTTGAAAACCAAAATGAAAAATGAAATATTGGTCAAAATACGGCTGGAAAAATGCCCATACAATAAGGCAGACATAAAGGCAGACAGAAAGACAGACAGATACCGTATCCGACAGTTTTCAATTCACCAACCCAATACATTGAATTTTGCTATTTGAGGATCCATGATTTTTGAATTCTATTACCTCCATCATCGGCCAAAACACTGGAACCAAAGCCGATGACGAGAATCACTATAGGAAGCATAATTCAGAAGAAGAAATAGAGAATGGGGGAAATGATTAGTAGGTAAGGAAGAAGTTTTATGAGAATGATGGATGGCAGGAGGTTGGGCAGAGGGAGGGGAGTGGCTCCTCCCCTTGGCTACCCTTGCCCATAAAAAGACTCGTCCCACTCCTCTAAAACCCCTCAAATCAAAGAAAAGAAAAGCTCAACTCTTCCCCTTTATGTGAACTCACTGAGCCCAAATTCGTCAAACAGACGCAAAAAATGCACTTCACTTTTTCCGGAAACTTCAAGACCCCAAGACCTTCAAGATTTCTCAAAAAGTAGCCTAAATTTAGAGCTGCCTATTGCCAAATCTATTTTCGATGCAAAATCCTTACAAGATGAATGTTTACGGAAAGGATTGAGGAAATTTGATGTTCCAGTGATAGAAGGGATTGAGCTGATAAAGGGGTGAATGCTAGGAGCTTTTTCGGTGTAGCATAGTTTTCAAAATGGATGAAGTTTAAATAAAATGAATGAATGTTCAAATAAAATAAATGAATGAATAAACATAAATAGAATAAAATCAAATAAAATGAATAAATTCAAATAGAATGAATAAACTTAAATAGAATGAATAAAATGATTAGCTCCAATCGTTTCCCCGATCCCGAAAACCCGTGGGTACAAATTTACAGCTGAATATCGATGTATAGGACAAAAAATTTCGGAACCACCTTTGTTTTAGGCCGTCAAATTCAGGTTTAAAGATAAGGAAAAACGATCCAATGCTGAAAATTCTTAAAAAACCTTGTAATCATAGCAATTTTGTGTTAAATTTTACACTTTAGAAGCAAAGATCAAGTCTTTTAATTGGCAAGATATCGCCAGAATCAACCCAAATGCCTGATCGCTTGAATTTCTCTCAAAAACCATCCGAGTTTTCTGAAATTTCCAATTAAACGCAGACATTCAACAGCAATTCTTTCTAGATTCTAGATTTCAACAGCAATTCTTTCTAGATTCTAGATTTCAACAGCAATTCTTTCTAGCAAACTCAATTCTAAACTCTTTCTAGACGAATAGTAAAATTTTCGATTGATCGAAGTTGAAACACAAAACTTATAGGTCTAAAAAGTTCGACCGACCGACCTATAAGTCACAAAACTTATAGGTCGTAATCGGATTTCAAGTTTTAACTTTTGTTTCACTGAAAATAGATCTGTGTACTCGATGAAAATTTTACGAAAAAGCTGCCCTCATTTTTTTAAGAGTACCGTATTTCTTCGAATAGAAGACCGGGTAAAGAGTATCATCGCGTACTCCTGCGTAGCAACCCTTTTAAAAATTTCTTTTCTGCGTAAAAGCTTTCAATCAAGTGCTATAGGGCTGAAAAATGACTCAAAAATACCACATGAGCTAACAGATTTTTGAGCCATTTTCCAGCTCTATAGCACTTCATTGAAAGCTTTTATGCAGAAAAGAAATTTTAAAGAAGGAGTACGCGATCCCGTTACCCGGTCTTCTATTCGAAGAAATACGGTGATTTCTTGGAGTTGACTTGTAAATAATAGAAGAAAATGTTCTTGAATTGGTGGATTCGTTTTTAAGAAATTCCAGTCAAACTTTTTTCGGAGAACTTTCTTTTCAACTTAATAGATTTCGAATTTCTAAAGCGTATCGGAACCATATTGGAACCGTATTGAATCTAAAAAGAACCTTATTGGAACCGTATTGAATCTAAAAAGAACCGTATTGGAACCGTATTGAATCTAAAAAGAACCGTATTGGAACCGTATTGAATCTAAAAAGAACCGTATTGGAACCGTATTGGATCTGAAAAGAACCGTATTGGAACCGTATTGAATCTAAAAAGAACCGTATTGGAACCGTATTGGATCTAAAAAGAACCGTATTGGAACCGTATTGAATCTAAAAAGAACCTTATTGGAACCGTATTGAATCTAAAAAGAACCGTATTGGAACCGTATTGAATCTAAAAAGAACCGTATTGGAACCGTATTGAATCTAAAAAGAACCTTATTGGAACCGTATTGAATCTAAAAAGAACCTTATTGGAACCGTATTGAATCTAAAAAAGAACCGTATTGGAACCGTATTGAATCTAAAAAAGAACCGTATTGGAACCGTATTGAATCTAAAAGAACCGTATTGGAACCGTATTGAATCTAAAAAGAACCTTATTGGAACCGTATTGGATCTGAAAAGAACCGTATTGGAACCGTATTGAATCTAAAAAGAACCGTATTGGAACCGTATTGGATCTAAAAAGAACCGTATTGGAACCGTATTGAATCTAAAAAGAACCGTATTGGAACCGTATTGAATCTAAAAAGAACCGTATTGGAACCGTATTGAATCTAAAAAGAACCTTATTGGAACCGTATTGGATCTAAAAAGAACCGTAAAAAAAAATTTCAACGAGGTGGCTCCGAACTTTTGTGTCACTCTGTATCATTCGAAAGCCTGAAGTGTCCTTTACAAATCTATATCAAAAGTAACATTAATATTATCACTATTTATTTATGAGCCTTCTATTTATGTGGGCCCAAAATAAGCGTTGCTCAAAAATTCATTGATTTAACAAGTGACAAGTTCTGATAGTTTGACCCAGCCGTTTTCTTCTTCTTTTCTCTCATTGACCTCAAAAGAGAGCCAGAAAATGGCGGGAATCTACTCAATATGACACAAAAAGATAAAAAAGAGAGAATTTCAAAGCAGTTATTCATCCAATACTTTGAAACTATCAAGATATTCAAAATATTCAAGATATTCAATTGAAATCGAATAATTTTTCAATATTCTAATCAACCATGCCTCCAAAGATGAAGCTATTAAAGAAAAAACGAAGAGGTAATGAAAAGTTAAACGTGCAAAACAGTGCAAAACAAAGTTTAAATTGTTATCGCATTTTTTAATTTGCATCTAAATTAGTCTAACTAGGGAAGGCTGCCAACTTACTCTTCATTTCTTCAATTTCAAAACAAAACAAAGAGAAATTGAAAGGTAAAACATTAAAAAACAATTAAAACATTAAAATAAAAGTAAAGCAAAAGTTTTTGACGCAAAAGGAATTGAACCCAAGCCAAATGATGCATAGCTTTTTTTCTGATACCTGCCTCTTATCCACTACACCACTAGGTCATCTGTTAGAGTAATGTGCGCGCGCCTCAAATAGACATGGCAAAAACGTTTTTGCCAAATATCTCGCGTTATAAAGTCGTTCCGGAAAAACTAAAAACGTCATCGGAATCAGCGTAAAAAACTGCACAAGATGAGTTCGGTCTCATTTGCAACGGCCACCTTAAGGCGTGTTGGCGGCCTTCCCTAGTAAGATGCAAAAATTTGTATCCAAAGCAGCGTAAAAATTATATATGTTGTGTCCGATTTAGATTTCCGTCCGATTTAGATTCAATCTAAATCGGACGTCTTATATAGATTGAACAATAATATAAACATGCTTAATATATGTTCTTAAGCGTTTTCTGTAGTTTTCTGCATTTTTCAAAGGTCTTTTATTGATTACAGTCTATATCGGACGTCCGATACAGATCGAACAATAATAAACGTGCTTAATATATGTTCTTAAGCGTTTTTTTGCAATTTTCTGCGCTTTTCAAAGAATTCAAGATGTCACAATAGCATGTTCAAGATGCCACAAAGAATTCAAGATGTCACAATGTCACAACTCTGCAATTCAAGATGTCACAATAGCCTAAGCTGCAAAAATAAATAGAAATTTTTAACTCGTTCGTTGTTGTTGTTGGTTTTTTGTTGTTGTGTGTTGTAATTTCGCATCTATTCTGTTAAATCCAAATCGGACGTCCGATATAGACTGTAATCTAAATCGGACGTCCGCGATAAGTTCAATCTAAATCGGACGGAAATCTAAATCGGACACAACATATATACAGGGTGCGTCATAATCTCATACTCACTCTGGAGGATGTAGCTCAGTCAAAAGATAACCGATTCCCACAAAAATTTTATAGGTAAATGTTGAGTGGGTCTCCTATAGCGGTGCCCATTATCTAACCGATAGGAGCTCATAAGTTTTTAAAACAAGCTCTCAAAGTTGAGAGTCGCACTTAGCCTGGCGCGCCACCTAGTTTTGGAGTTTTTGAAGTGACATTGAAAGCCGACTGGGAGATTCTCGCACGAAATTTATTACATACGAAATACTTAACATTTTAAACACCTCTCGGCCCGGATTTACATGACGAAAATCATAAATAAGCAGGGTTTTGTTCATTTTGTGTGAGATTTTTCCCGTAAACGATGATCGAAGATTGAAAAACATCTTTCTGATAAATTTGGAGCGAAAATTTTCCAGTCGACTTTCAATGTCACTTCAAAAGCCCCAAAACTAAGTCGCGTGCCAGGCTAAGTGCGAATCCCAACTTTGAGAGCTTGTTTTAAAAACTTATGAGCTCCTATCGGTTAGATGACGTGCACCGCTATAGGAGACCCACTCAACATTTACCTATAAAATTTTTGTGGGAATCGGTTATCTTTTGACTGAGTTACACCCTGCGGAATGAGTATGAGATTATGATAAATTTCCCTATGGTTAAATAGATAAATTTCCCTATAGATAAATTTGCGAAGCAATCAGATCAGCGAAAAGTACTCAAGTTTGGGAGTGGGACAAATGCGACCTTTTTTTTGCGCACCTGGACATTTGCGCACCTTTTTTTCCGCACCTTGCCCATTAGCGCACCTTTTTTCGCGTTTTAAAAAAGCTCTAAAAAGCTAATATTAACCAATTTCTATTCCAAATGTTGTTTTTCTAGGTAATTTGAGGGTGTCGAATTCAAATTTTGACATAACAGAGCGCGTGGAACCAATTTGAAAGACAAAACGGCTAGATCAAATTGTCGATTTTTCAAACAGAAAATTGTCGATTTTTCTCTTTGTATAACTCCGTCCGTTTGTTTCCACAAGCTCTGATATGTCAAAATTTGAATTCGACACCCTCAAATTACCTAGAAAAACAACTTTTGGAATAGAAATTGGTTAATATTAGCTTTTTAGAGCTTTCTTAAAACGCGAAAAAAGGTGTGCTAATGGGCAAGGTGCGGAAAAAAAGGTGCGCAAAAAAAAGGTCGCATTTGTCCCACTCCCAAAATTTCCTCACTTTTCGTCGAGTTTTTCTATTTTATCCAAATTTTGATCTAAAATTTGCTTAAATATCCTATTTATTAAAATTTTTAGGAAAAATGGGCGTTTTCGCGGTTCCATTGTTCGAAGAGGACAACAACTCGGCGAAATTCGGACGTCTTTTTAGGTAGGAGCCTATTTTTTGCCTTTTTACACGATTGAGCTTGTAATTTCTTGTTTTAACGATTGAATATTGTTAGATCTTTGAAAATGTTACAATCTGTCTAACAAATTAGTCAACAATGGCTAAATTTTGGCGTTAAACATGTGAAATTCTTGAGATTTTCTGATAAATGATAGTTTTTATCATTCTGAAAGAGAAAATTGGTTATGTTTTTGCAAGAAATTCTTGCAATTCTTGCAAAAACTTCTGTAAAACAAATATTTTTAGCTTATTTTAGCTCTGAAACATTTATTGGGACTTTCAAAGGATAAACTTTTCTAATTTTAGTGAGAGAGGCGACAGCAGCTACACACAGGAGAGTTTCGATGAGACGGATTGCAGCTTGGCGAGGTGAATTGTTCAGTAACTATTAAAGATCTTAGGAATCCGTCATGGCTAAGTAAATGTAAAAATAGTTTGTGAGGTTTTCGCAAAAAGTTTTGATAGCTCTTTGGACAAAGAGCTAAATAGCTCTTTGTCCTTTAGCTTTGAACAAAGAGCTAAATAGCTCTTTGTTTTTTAGCTTTAGGAACATTTTAAGCTAGCTGATATTATAGATGTGTATGTTTTAAATGTTGCATTCTTTTAATAGTTGTTTAATACATGAATTTTAATACATTTTTAATAGTTTGTAGTTCAATAAATGTTCGTTTTTTAAATTTAGCACTTTAATTATCATGTTTTTATCGTTTTCTTTTAGGCCACAAAGTGCGATGAGCCCCCTAGCTGGCAATTCTCCACAAAATCGACATTCCGATGAATTGACAAGAGTGTTAAAGGTAAAGATTTACTATATTGAAGTTTACAATAAGAATGCAAATAGTTTGAATAGGTTTAATCTTTCTTAATTCTAAAAATATAACAATTGATTTAAGAAAACTTTGTAGATCTTATTTTCTTCATTTCAGAGAGGCGACCACAGCCAAATACGAAAAAGTCTCGCCAAAGAGGGGAAATCGACTCGAAACATTGATCAAAGGTGGCCAGCTTTTATGAAGAGTTTCACTTGAAAGTTTAGATTTCTTTCCACGTTACGTGGGCTTTCCCGTGGGCCGTTGAAACTGCACAATTGCCGGCGATTACGAAAAGGATTGACGCATATTATTAGGTAGGCAGTTGATGGTTTGAATTTTTAAAGAAAGCACACATCTACTCTTGATTTTAAAGATATTAGTTACCTCTAGCTGGCATAACGATGCAATTAGGCAATGAACCCGCGACCGGGAAGCCTTGGTGTGTTCGTTGTAGCTTTGTATTAGGCTGTCCAGAAAGTCTTTTCATTTCTTTTCATTCTTCCCTTTAAAACCAACAAATGAACCAATTGAACTACGGTTTGTTTCATCAGAAAGGCCAATTATTTTTCTGCAAAATAACATTAAAACGGGTTTTAAATGGATTTTTTTGAGAGCGTGAAGTCGGGTAGTCAAAAAGGGCGATGACTCGATGATGCATTTTAGAAACTTTATCTAAGGTAACCTATCTTCGTGTCAATAGATAAAAGATAGAGCACAAAAAGTTAGGTATATAGCCAAATTTTCAGAGAAATCGATTCAACCAATTTCTGCTTAGAGGTTTTTATAGATTTTTACGAAAGCACACGTTTTCTTTTTTTTCGTTTTTCTCGAATTTGCTTGTAAGTGAACCGAAATTGACCTTAAAAGATTGGAAATTAAACAATAAACACTTTTATTTAAAGCAAACATTTTATTTGTTTATTTTTATTTTATTTTTTAGAGTTAATTGTTGAATTTGTTATTTTTCAACGGAAGTACGAAAATGAAGACTTTCTGGACAACCTAATAATCCCATGTGTTTTGAGTTTTCTATAAAAATAGAATTCCCATTAGTCAGTGTCTAATATCAAATGAAAATCAAATCAAACCTTATTTCTTTTTAGTGATTGGAGCCACGTCTCATCTCTAACTATCAGTCAAACGAAAGCTCTCAATGCACAGGTGGCGGCAGTGGTTTGTTTTTAACACTAAAAAGCACAACAATTTTAAGATAATTAATTAACCTTTGGAAGATTCTTGTTTAAAAATTCTTGATAAAAGTATTCTTAGAAAAGCTTATCTTCTATAGCTTTAGAGTACGTACTTTATTTTTGCTATCAACTATTTCATGAAATCTCATAATATTTTCTTTAGGAAGCTTTTAATACGGCACTCATCGCCGATTCTTTGTGTGATATTCGACAACGAGTCAATTACATCGTCGATCAGATTGAGGTTTGCAAAGAATATTGTTTTTTTGTAAAATAATGAGATTTTAGCCGATTCTCATCCGTGGTACTCATCTCGGCACGTTGCTCCAATTTCTCCTTCGATCACTACGCGATCCACAAAGAAGAGAGGATTCGAAGAGTCGATACAGGAAATGTATAAGGTTGGGTTGATATTTAAATTACTTTGTATTGCCTAAGTAACTACATTTGGCCAATCAAATTTCTAAAATATTGATCGAATTTATCAAATCTAGGATCTTTACGGTTATCAGGGGGAGGGGGGCGAGTTTTTGACCATTTTACAGTCCAATTTTAGATAGCTTTTTGTTAATATCTTTGGATGAAACAAATAGCGTTTGAAAGTTGACGTTCTAAGCTATCTAAATCTTTTTAAAACGTCCTGATCTGATAAGTTTAAGGTGCTTAAAAATGAGCTGCAAGTTGGCCAAACCCCCGCCTCCGTTAACCGTAAAGCACTAAATCTTAGAAAGCTTGTATATGTCGTAGCCGATTATGAATGAGCGGGTCCGGACGCGTCCAACCATCAAGTATTTCGTATCATTCAACGCAGAATCATTAATAATTATGTTAAATTTTTAAAATTAGAAAGATTGGATAAAAAGAAAAAAATTATGGGCCTCAAAGTTTCCTCTTGAACAAACAGTTTTTTTGCTCTAATTTTTTTTCTTTTTATCAAATCTTTTAATTTTAAAAATTTAACATAATTATTAATGATTCTGCGTTGAATGATACCAAATACTTGATGGTTGGACGCTCCTAGACCCACTCATTCATAATCGGCTACGGGGGTCCCGCCGATTTTGAATGAAACGTTGTAGCGCCGGTAATTTTTAACCTAAACTCACAAATTTGGTATCAAATCGACGCAGAATTTAATTCGCTACAGGATGATATAACATTGTCCTCATACATTAAAGGGTTGCTCTACTAGAAAGATTTACCAAAAAATTTCATTCATAATCGGCTACGACATATAAAAGTTTAAAATGTGTACTGACTAAAACAATTTTTACGAACGTTTCAGGAATATTTCAATGAGGAAATGATAATAGACCTTGGATTTGTTAATGTGTTAATGCTAGTTTAGACCTATTATTAACTTTCTCTGAAGTCTGGCATACTTTTGAAAATACTCTACTTGATTTAAAGTTATTTTAGTTAAAGTTAACGGTGTCATTTTTTTTTAGAGAATTGAACGAACGGGTGCGGACAACGATGAGCAGTCTCGACGTGCCGTTAATCGATTCTCCGTAATTTTTCACGATTCACAATTTTTCACAATTTAAACCATTTTGCTATGTTTTAATTGTTTTGTTGTTTGATTGTTAAATTTTCCTACTCATTTTGTTTGTGATTTTACACTCGCTTGTTTATGCATTCATCAAATTTATCATACAATTTATTTACCACACACATAAACAAAAAAAAAAGAAGAAAACCATAAAAAGAATGCATATATAAAGTATTTATCGTTTAGAAAATGTGTAAAATTTAGGTGAATGCAAATGAACGGGGCAAAAAAGAAAAAAACGCTGAATTGCGGTAATTGCGAAGATTTGAGAGAGGAAACGGCAAAGAAATCAGAAAATTTTTATGATACACGTGGTCGCTGACAAAAGAAAATGTGTAGAAGATTGACATTTTAGAATTGCCGGACTAAAATTTGAAAAAACATGAAAAAGAACTTATTTTTAGAAAAAAAATCTACATATGTCGTGTGGGTTTTGCTGAAAAAAAAGCCGAACGCACCGGGCAACACAAATTTTTTTTTTTTTGCGGATTTTCGTGTGCTGAGCTGAGCGGATGAGCTGCTATGGCTTTAGGTACGATAATGGACAAAATTTTGCATTGATACGGTAAAAGACAGAGCTTAAAGGCTGGCAAAAAAAACTGTAAAAGATTCGACTTTTAGCCCTTTTAGCCGCCAAGCTCTCTACATGGTAATTGCCCAATTTTTACAGCTAGAAATACCCCCATCTTTTCGCTCTTTAGCACACAAAAATCCCCTCAATTTCTTTAGAAAAAGGTGAAAAATGAGCTGGCCGCAACGAAAAAAAACGAGAAAAAAAGCTATCATTTGGGGGGAAATGCGAAAAAAATGCCGAATAAATACGAAATTTGGGGAGTTTTTTCTAGAAAAATCGGGCCAAATCGAAAAATTCTCATATAGGGCACAGTTCAAGGACGAAAAAAAAAAGAAAATAGAAAAGGAAAAGAGAAAAAGAAAATAGAAAAGCAAAATGAAAAGAAAATACTTTCCAAAACAAAAAAAAGGTCAACAAATACTAGAAGAAGCGGGGAATTTTTCGAAAATTTCGGCGAAATAGGCAAGTTGTGTTGTGTGAATGAATTTCGGATGATTTGGGGATTTGAGGGAATGGGATTTCAGTGGGATTCGTGAATTTCAGTGAAATTTAGCGAAATTTAGCGAAATTTCAGTTTCTAGGAAAGATTTGAGGTTTTTAGCAGAAAAAAGAATTTTGAAGGTGCGAGCCGGGATCGAACCCTCGATGGCAGGCCTCGATCGAACCGGGCTGAGAGGCGCGCACTTTACCACTGCACCATGGGGGCATCACCACCGATCTCGAAAAAAAGACGGTTATAAGGCTCCGGAAAGTTTTCGTTCTCTTTTGGGCGAGCAGGGATCGAACCTCGAGATCCAGGATGGCAGGCCTCGATCGAACCGGACTGACAGGCGCGCACTTTACCACTGCACCATGCGGGCATCATGATCGGCCTCGAAAAAAGGCGAATATAAAGGCACGCGGCAAGTTATCGTTATTTGGGAGAGCAGGGATCGAACCCTCGATGGCAGGCCTCGATCGAACCTGAGAGGCGCGCCACTTTACCACTGCACCATGCTTGCGCCATCGGAACCCTCTAAAAAAACGCGGTTATAAAGCAAGTTTTCGTTACTTATTGGGGATCGAAGTTTTCGTTACTTATTGCGAGCGGGGATCGAGCCCTCGAGACCCACGACCCCCACCGGACTGACAGGCGCGCACTTTACCAATGCACCATGGGGGCACCACGGTCGGTCTCGAAAAAAGGCGGTTATAACGCTCGCAGCAAGTTTTCGTTATTTTCACGGCTTTTCGCTATTTTCGCGGCTTTTCATCAATTTTCCTTTTTTTCACAAATCCCATTGAAAATCGATTTTCCCAAAAAAATTTCCCTAATATTTAAATTTTCCAAAAAACTCGGGATATTTACAGGTATTCTCTTAAAAAAAAATTATCCCCAGACCCAGAAAAAGTTGGCTTTAGAAAACGAGAAAATGAATGAATTTTCCGAGAAAAGTTTCATGTATTTTTGTCAAAGTTGGCAGGTTTTGAGTTTACAAATCGAAAATTGAATATTTCCTACAAAAATGACGAGATTTCTTAGCAAATACAGTAGTGCAACGGGAAGAGGAAATGCTTTAGAGCGTTTTCGATTTCATGTTTTGTTAAAGCTGGGCTGCTCGAATGAGTTTCGCGGATTTGCGTGGAGAATTGGACTTGTTTGGTGGGAAAGTTAGTGCAAAGTAGAAGCTAACTCTAGATTATGGTAGCGTTAGGATTACGGTAGTGTTAGGATTACGGTAGCGCCAGGATTACGATAGCGTTAGGCTTACGGTAGCGCCAGGATTACGGTAGTGTTAGGCTTACGGTAGCGCCAGGATTACGGTAGCGTCAGGATTACGGTAGTGTTAGGCTTACGGTAGCGCCAGGATTACGACAGTGCCAGGATTACGATAGCGTCAGGATTACGGTAGCGTCAGGATTACGGTAGCGTCAGAATTACGGTAAAGCCAGGTAACTTGTACCCAAAGATAGATAGACAAACCTACCGTAATCCTGAGCCAGGAACTACCGTACTCATTTCTCATTTTGCACTAACTTTATCCCTACACAAGTGACTGTACAATGAAAAGACTACAATTTGTTTTTGCTACAAGTTTTTGGCAGTTTGGGGCCAGTTTCAGGGGGATGGAGGGGTGAAAATTGAGTTGAGGCTAATGTTGAATAGAATCTTTAAAAGATGCTAGACACCGGTCAGGGTTACCGTAATTTCTACCGTAACCCTGACCCTTACTGTAGCTGGCTTACTGTAGCTGGCTGGTTGTAGCTGGCTGGTTGTAGCTGGCTGGTTGTAGCTGGCTGGTTGTAGCTGGCTGGTTGTAGCTGGCTGGTTGTAGCTGGCTGGTTGTAGCTGGCTGGTTGTAGCTGGCTGGTTGTAGCTGGCTGGCTGTAGCTGGCTGGTTGTAGCTGGCTGGCTGTAGCTGGCTTACTGTAGCTGGCTTACTGTAGCCTGGCTATACTTCTAGCTTGTAGATTCCACTCAAAACATTCTCAACTCACAAAAAAGACAAAGAAATCAAACTGGAGGGCAAGAAGAACATACGCTTAACGAAAATGAGCAATAGCGATAAGGAGAACTCAGCACATAAACAAAAAAAGATCAAAATCAAAAAAGATTAGTGGATTCAAGATTCAAGATTAGTGGATATTGTCGGTTTTCTGTGGTACTGTCGATTTTAAACTGGAGAGAGCACCAAGAATGGGCGGATTTCACATATTTTCTTATAGCAATGATCTGCTTTCAACAGAAAAGCAAAGAAGTTTCAATGCGTCAGAGCAGTGCCGTTTCCACTTTTCAAGCACAAAGTACATTCCAATCCCCCACCAGATTAAGACTAGAAAAGCGTGTAACTTTGGTGCTCTTTTAGAAATGAATATGATCAACGAATCCTTGATAAAAGGATATAATTCATATTGTTCTACAATAATTCATATTGTCTTAAATGAATCCTTTGAATGATATCTCGACAATCATTGAACACTCTCCTGATATTTTCAGTGTCAACAGCGCATGTGAAATGGGGATAACAGTGATGTCGACCGTCGCCAGCTGCCGTTGAAATCCTCTGGAAATTTCTTGGTTTAAAAAACTCTCGTCAAACGATTGTTGCGATTGTTGTTTTGCTTTTTAAATAACTATTTCTTTAGCTTTTCTTTAGCTTTTCTTTAGCTTTTCTTTAGCTTTTCTTTAGCTTTTATTTAGCTTTTCTTTAGCCATTTGCATTGAAATATATAGAATATAGATGTTATTTAATATAGAAAATCACCTTTTTCAATAAAACTTTAGAATTTAGCTCCTTAAGCTGCTGCCACACGCCCTCATCTGACTAACTCAGCGGTGTAACCAGAATTTCATTTCAATCTAATGGCTCGAGCTCCACGAGACTATCCCCAATCAATTTTCAACCAAGAAATCTACCAAATGAGCCAGTTTTCTCCTTTTTGCGCGTCACTAAGCCATAGAAAACCACCTTTTTGAAAAACAAACTAGAATTTAGCTCCTTAAGCTGCTGCCAAACGCCCTCATCTGACTAACTCAGCGGTGTAACCAGAATTTCATTTCAATCTAACGGCTCGAGCTCCTCGAGACTATCCCCAATCAATTTTCAACCAAGAAATCTACCAAATGAGCCAGTTTTCTCCTTTTTGCGCGTCACTAAGCTCAAATTCTTGAGATCAGCTCTCACCCTATATTTGGCTGTATTTTTGCTACGATTTTGGCTGTATTTTTGCTACAGGCCTGGAGCTAGTTATTTAAAATAAATAGAATAGAATAAACAATATAATAAACAATATAAATCCCAAATCACTCACCAAGAATTCGCCTCTGATGAAGTATTTGGCTCGCACGACTTTCGGGTCATCCGATGGATCGTAAACGGCATCCGATGGGAGTTGATAATTAGCGAATTCCGGGAAATAATCCTCCAATTTGTAGCGGCCGGCTTTGATCTTTTCCGCTAATAAATCCTGAAAAAAAAATGTTTTTGAGAAAATTGAGCTCATCTTTCTTTACTTGTTTATTTAGGAAAAGAATGACGGATATCGTCTTCAGCCATCGATTATTCCAGATGTTCTTGAAAAGCGCCAGTGATTCACGCAATCGATTTTGGGTCGAATCCTGGAAATTTTTGAGATCAAGTGCTTTTAAAGTTTAAAATGCATTTAAATTCTATTTTCATTTGTTTTTGTGGTTCCAGGCTTTCCCTAGTTTGTCATGGGAAATGTTTTCTATCTTTTAGAGGCTCAGGGCTTGCCTTTTAGAGGTTATTTTCTTTTAGAGGCTTTAGAGGCCTTTTAGAGGCTTTAGAGACCTTTTAGAGGCTTTAGAGACCTTTTAGATGCTTTAGAGGCCTTTTAGAGGCTTTAGAGACCTTTTAGAGGCTTTAGAGGCCTTTTAGAGGCTTTAGAGGCCTTTTAGATGCTTTAGAGGCCTTTTAGATGCTTTAGAGGCCTTTTAGATGCTTTAGAGGCCTTTTAGAGGCTTTAGAGACCTTTTAGAGGCTTTAGAGGCCTTTTAGAGGCTTTAGAGGCCTTTTAGAGGCTTTAGAGGCCTTTTAGATGCTTTAGAGGCCTTTTAGAGGCTTTAGAGGCCTTTTAGAGGCTTTAGAGACCTTTTAGAGGCTTTAGAGGCCTTTTAGAGGCTTTAGAGGCCTTTGAGAGGCTTTCCTTGAGATCTACACCCACCTCCCAAAGCATCATATTGTACGAAGCGGAACAGCAAACGAAAATGATCGCCGTCACATCGTTGAAACATTGAATCCATTTTCTTCGTTCGTCTCGTTGACCGCCCACATCGAACATACTGAAATCACGTTTTTGAGGACTTTTCGAATATGGGAAAATATGGGAAAAATATGGGAAAGCTACTGTAGCCCGATTTTCTTCTATCTCAATAGTATATTATTGTAAGATGTAGAAGTAATGAGAAGTAAAGAAGATTTAAGTAATGTAAGATGTAGAAGAGGAATGTAAGATGTAGAAGAGTAATGTAAGATGTAGAAGAGTAATGTAAGATGTAGAAGAGTAATGTAAGATGTAGAAGAGTAATGTAAGATGTAGAAGAGTAATGTAAGATGTAGAAGAGGAATGTAAGATGTAGAAGAGTAATGTAAGATGTAGAAGAGTAATGTAAGATGTAGAAGAGTAATGTAAGATGTAGAAGAGGAATGTAAGATGTAGAAGAGTAATGTAAGATGTAGAAGAGTAATGTAAGATGTAGAAGAGTAATGTAAGATGTAGAAGAGTAATGTAAGATGTAGAAGAGGAATGTAAGATGTAGAAGAGTAATGTAAGATGTAGAAGAGTAATGTAAGATGTAGAAGAGTAATGGAAGATGTAGAAGAGTAATGTAAGATGTAGAAGAGTAATGTAAGATGTAGAAGAGTAATGTAAGATGTAGAAGAGTAATGGAAGATGTAGAGAATCTTATTGTTTTTTTGAAAAATACAGATAATTGACTAAATTGACTATAATAGACAATAAAAACTGGAAAACTCACTGAAATCGAACTTTGTCGACCTCGAATTTCGTCTCAAAGATTCCGGTCGTCATCACACGACATCGAAGAATATCCTGAGCAAATAATCAGATTTAAATGTAAATCATTATATCAATATTACAATTTTTAGATCAAATATACTGATCAAATTCAAATTTAGATCAAATTTAGATCAAATTGTGAAAGTTTAATGTGATTTGGAATGAAAATTCAAGCTTTACCTGTTCGGAGGGACTGTACTCGGGCTTTCGCACTTGCTCGACCCGATCGAGGAAACTGAAAGGGGAAATTTATTGGTTTTTTAGCTATTTATTATCAGAAATATCTAAAGATCTAAAGATTTATTTAGTTTAATTTGACTATTTCTATATAATATAATAAATAGATGATTCCTTTAACACATGGACGACCGCGTGACTCAATGCTGACAAGGGAGTGGTCCAAATTGGCCACACGATTTCGCTGTGAGTCAAGACTCACGACTCAAATCTTGACTCACGTTGAGATTTGAGTCACGTAATGTAAGTCATTCCCTTGTGAGTCTTGGCTACTCGTTCGGACTACGTGACTCAATGCTGAGTTGCTCAATGCGACAGAACCGAGTCTTTTAAAGCTCTCATGTGCAAATTTGGGGGATTTTGTTATTCATTTTGATCCTTTAACCAAATCGACCGTTTCGCAAAATATGCGCAGTCGTCAATGTGTTAAATCGGTAGCAAATTTTCCCCGAAACTCTCACTATTTCGCGCAATCAATCAGCTGATACTCGGAACTTCGCTCGAAAGTCGCTCGTACGCCCCGATCCGCCCAGCATTTGATCACGTGATCGTAGAATTCCTGAAAAAAACTTGATTATATACCGTGACAGCTTGACTAGATCCTGATCAGCCTCAGGATCAGGATTAGCTTGACCTGAAACTGATCAGCTTCAGGATCAGGATTAGCTTGACCTGAAACTGATCAGCTTCAGGATCAGGATCAGCTTGACCTGATCCTGATCAGCTTGACCTGAAACTGATCAGCTTCAGGATCAGGATTAGCTTGACCTGAAACTGATCAGCTTCAGGATCAGGATCAGCTTGACCTGAAACTGATCAGCTTCAGGATCAGGATTAGCTTGACCTGAAACTGATCAGCTTCAGGATCAGGATTAGCTTGACCTGAAACTGATCAGCTTCAGGATCAGGATCAGCTTGACCTGATCCTGATCAGCTTGACCTGAAACTGATCAGCTTCAGGATCAGGATTAGCTTGACCTGATCCTGATCAGCTTCAGGATCAGGATCAGCTTGACCTGATCCTGATCCGCTTGACCCGATCCTGATCAACTTGACCTGATCCTGAGCCTAAGCCTAAGCCTAAGTCTAAGTCTAAGCCTAAGCCTAACACACCGCCAAACGGGTGTCCCTTAGCTCCGAGAACTGGCTGAGATCCAGAAAATGGGGGTTTAGCCCAAACCCAAATAGACTTAGTGCTAGGCGCTAGCCGCTAGCCTTCGCACTAAGTCCAAGCCTAAGCCTAAGCCTTGACCAGATCCTGATCAGCTTGACTCAATGCTTTTTCCTTGTCATTCCCAAAATCATTGAGTTAAAGTCAAGCAACTCTTTGACCGCTTGCTTAGAAATATTTTTATATAGTATTCATCCCTTTCCACAAACCTGTGGATAATCGAAATCTTCATCGGCGGCCGTGGTGAGAAGATAGTCCCGACTTGGGCCATTTGACGGATCGTCGAGGCTTACTTTTGGGTCGATCTCGTCCATCGCGTGCAGGATCACCTAGAAATTACTATTTTAATGAATTATCGATAAAAATTAGGTTCTTAAGTCTTTTTCCCCTTACCCTTTGCAACCTTTTGCTCACTTTGCATGCAGAAAAAAAAAGCCATAGCACACACTACACTCATTTTTATGCTCTTGCTTTGAGATGACTAATTAGTGGTGCGATCTCTTAGCTCCCAGTTACAACGTTTTACAATCAACATCCGAGCAAACCAAGTCTTATTGCTAGATTTTGTGAGTGATCGTAAGAAATTTGTCTTGTTTCAGAGAGTTTAACGGATTTGGGATGAACTAACGGATGCTGTACTTCTAGTAAAGTACAGTAAAGTACTGTACTGTCAGCCAGGATTGTATTGTACTGATCAACCAGGATTGTACTGTACTGATCAGCCAGGATTGTACTGTTCTCATCAGCCAGGATTGTACTGTACTGATCAGCCAGGATTGTACTCTACTGATCAGCCAGGATTGTACTGTTCTCATCAGCCAGGATTGTACTGTACTGATCAGCCAGGATTGTACTCTACTGCCAGCCAGGATTGTACTCTACTGTCAGCCAGGATTGTACTGTACTGTCAGCCAGTTTGAGCCAATATTACTGGACTGATTCGATCACTAACAGTACGTGCTTACGTACTGTACATGCTTACGTACTGTACATGCTTACGTACTGTACATGCTTACGTGCTGTACTGCTTAACAATGAGTACAGTGCTATTTTTCTAGTAAAGTACAGTAAAGTACAAATTGCAACATTTCTTTCTTCTCGAAAACTTTGACTGAATGGGCATTCCCTATTTCCATTTTCGTCAATGTTTTTCCCTATTCGAAAAGACAAAATAACGGTTTTTTTTTTTTTGCTTTCCTTTGACGTCTTCTCCTCCATTTTAAGTGAGTGACTCACGATTCATGTACAAAATTGTTTTATCATTTCACTGATACATTTTCTATTTTTAGAAACAAAAAGGAAAAAAGGAAAAATGGAAAAATGAGAATTTTCGATATTTCGATATTTCGATTTTTCGATTTTTCGATTTTTCGATTTTTCGATTTTTCGATTTTTCGATTTTTCGATTTTTCGATTTTTCGATTTTTCGATTTTTCGATTTTTCGATTTTTTTCGCTTTACAATCCCTTTGTTAAAATTTCTCGAGGAAAATTTTGCTCTTTTCCCCTTGATCAGTGACAAATTGCAGCCAATTTTTGCGTTTTTAAGGAAACAATTTTTGCGGAAATGTCATCGCAAAGAAAGAATAAGACAAGAGTTTTTTTTTTCTTTTGGAAAATAGGAAAATGAATCGAATTCTTTTTTTTGAGTGTGCGAAAGAGTAAAGTTTGACCCTGGTGTTGACCATTGATAGAAAATAAGCAAAAATCGGTTAGAAAATGGGTTAGAAATTGATCTGAAAAGTGCAAATCTTGAATTCAAAGCAATTCAAAGCAATTTAAAGCACTTCAAAGCAATTTAAAGCAGTTCAAAACAATTCAAAGCTTTTTGTGTAATAAACTGTTTGGTTTACTGATTTTAAAGTTGATATTGGAAGGGTTTTGGATACTAAATAAAGCTATTAATTGATTTCTACCGTTTGTCTTTAAACAAACAAAACAAAGATCTGATTCTAACAGAGTTGAGCTCAATTTTTTACTCCTCAACTTGTCCGCTTTGATTTTGAGATCATTGGCAGCTCAACTAACCAGTGAATTGGGTTTAAACTCTCTTTCTTTCAACTTTCAACTTTCAACTTATTAGTATAATCGGTATTTAGAGACAGTTCACTAGATCTAGATGATATTCCAGCCAGCAGACCTGTCAATCCTAAACCGTGCTCTTGTGTCGCTAGAAATGCAGGGTTTTCCGCACAAAAAAGCGTCAGTTGCGGGTGATTGTTTTGTTCACTTTTCTCTATTTCTCGGGCTGTCCCCTGGCCTCCCGTTTGGTCTCATTCAGGGGAGCCAGCGGGCTCCCCCTTTCCCCCAGCTCACCCCTACACCCCCAGACACCCTGCCCCCACCTCTAGCCTACTCCAGCCCCACCCAACCCCTACCCCACCCCCCAAGCTATCCCCAGCCTACTCTAGCTCACCCTTGCAACTCCTAGCCGACCCTCACCCCCGGACCTACTCCTATTCCACCCAGCTTACCCCTACACCACCAGGCCTACCCCTAACCTCACCCCCCCACCCCCAGCCTACCCCAACCCAGCCCTCCAGCCTACCCTGAGCCTAAGCCTAAGCCTCAGCTCAGCCCCAGCCTATCCCTACCCTTCCAGCCCAGCTTCAGCTTGTCCCTTCCCCCTCCAGCCCAGCCTAAGCCTAAGCCGCCTAAGCCCAGCCTACCCCTATCCCTTCAGCCTCACCTACTCTTACCCCTATGCCCACCTTAAGCCCAAGTCTAGGCCTAAGCCTAAGCTCAGCCCAAGCCCTCCGTAAGCCCAAGCCTAAATCCAGAAAATGGGGAGGGGTGAGCAGAATCCAGAAAAATCCCTTCAAATCCTAAATCCTAAATCCAGAAAATGGGGAGGCTATTTGGATAGCAAAGCCTTTGCCTAAGCCCAGCATACAAAGCATAAGCCTAAGCCCAGCTTCAGCCTACCCCTACCCCTCCAGCTCACCCCTACTCCAGCCTACCCCCACCCCTCCAGCTCACCCCTACTCCAGCCTACTCCTACTCCTATCCCACCCACCCCTATCCCACCCACCCCATCACCCCTGAAGTCGGCAATAAAGGCTGTCTCTCGGCACCCACCACCTCTCCTCGTACCCCAATATTTTCCCGCTTTTCCTCACCCATATCTCCATCTCTCTTTCCAATAAGAGCTAAAAATAGCTGCAAGCCGACCAGATATGGTCCTCTCTGAGCCCCTCTTTGCTCTTGAAGGGAAAAAAAATGAGAGAAACCAGTATTGAGGCATACAATTTTGTGTGTACTCGACGCCTCGTTTGTTCATTTTTTTTTTTCTAAGGTCATTTTTCGTTGAATATGGGATATTGGAAGGGTTTCTGGATATTAGATTTTTATAATTTTTCAGAATTTTATCATTTTTTCACTTTCCTAAGCTTCATGCAGATGCAAAAACGAAAAATGAAACGAAAACGAAACGAAAATCTTCATATCTTCATATCTTTATCTGCATCCAAAGCAAACGAACACAAACGAACACAAAACGACGTAAACAATCGGGGAAATGAGCTGCACTTTGTTCTCTTGCAAAGCTCTTGCAAACGCACGCTCTCTACGGCAAAGTTACGCCAAAGTTTTGTGTGTTAGAGTGTGCGTTTTGAGCACAAAGTACAAAGAATTTAGCCGACTTTCGAGATCTGGCGCATCGAGATCAAGCTGGCGATCTGTTTTCCTTTTTTAGGACTCAATTTTGTTTCGCAGATTCGCAAAATCTTTGGTGCCAGATCCCGAAAGTTTAAACTGATCGCGTAATCGTGCAAACTTTCGCCCTCTGGCATACTAATTTTCTCAATCTTGTTCACCAGATTTACAGAGTTCGAGTTGAATCACTTTACTAGGGGAATTTTGCCAGATGCTCGTAATCCTTTAAAACGAGATCAACTCCATCTTATAGAAGCGATTATGCTGATTCCAAATCCGTTTTCAGTTTTTGCCCTTGAGCCCTGTAACGCGAGATATCTGAGTTACAAGTTTCAGAGTTCATTTAGATCACATTTAGAGTTCACGGAGCCAACGAGCGATCGCCAACTAGCGACGTCTCCTTACTTAAGCTCATTTTTAGCAACGGAGGTAACTGGCGACGTGGTGTTGACTGTCGACTACGGCTCTAAAGCTGTCGACTACGGCTCTAAAGCTGTCGACTACGGCTCTAAAGCCGTCGACTACGGCTCTAAAGCTGTCGACTACGGCTCTAAAGCTGTCGACTACGGCTCTAAAGCTGTCGACTACGGCTCCAAAGCTGTCGACTACGGCTTCAAAGCTGTCGACTAGCTCTAAAGCTGTCGACTACGACTCCAAAGCTGTCGACTACGACTCCAAAGCTGTCGACTACGGCTCTAAAGCTGTCGACTACGGCTCCAAAGCTGTCGACTACGGCTCTAAAGCTGTCGACTACGGCTCTAAAGCTGTCGACTACGGCTCCAAAGCTGTCGACTACGGCTTCAAAGCTGTCGACTAGCTCTAAAGCTGTCGACTACGACTCCAAAGCTGTCGACTACGGCTCCAAAGCTGTCGACTACGGCTCTAAAGCTGTCGACTACGGCTCCAAAGCTGTCGACTACGGCTTCAAAGCTGTCGACTAGCTCTAAAGCTGTCGACTACGACTCCAAAGCTGTCGACTACGGCTTCAAAGCTGTCGACTACGGCTCCAAAGCACTCTGGTTCAATCCCCTTCTCGGCCAGTTTCTTTTTTTTTAGTCCGACATATTTTGCAGGCTTACACGTTATCTCAGGCTCAATTAAAGACACGATAAAAATCATTACATTTATTTTTATTACGATGAATGAATGTAATTCAGTCGGCTAGGCGAATCGGCTTATTTTAAACTTCAGAATTGATAGACTGATAACAATCATAACAATCATAACAATCATCAACTTGATAACAATCAACAACTGATTTTTACTGTTACCTTACTATTCCAATGTAATTTAAGCTAAATTAAAAAGCCAAAAGAAACTGTCTGAGGCGAGGATCGAACCAGGGTGCTTTCGTGCTATAGTCGACAGCTTTGGCGATGCACCACGCAGCTAGTTGGCTTCTTTGCGAAAAATGATCTTAAGTAAGGAGTACTGAGATATCTGGTATCCCAGATATCTTTAACCCTTTTAACCCTCGAAATCATTCGAAATCAGCGTAGTCGATTCGATAAGGTTGTCGATTCGATAAGGTTGTCGATTCGATAAGGTTGTCGATTCGATAAGGTTGTCGATTCGATAACGTTGTCGATTCGATAACGTTGTCGATTCGATAACGTTGTCGATTCGATAACGTTGTCGATTCGATAACGTTGTCGATTCGA